ACTCCTGCTCCTGGCCGGCCAGATGCTTTCTCGGAATGAATTAAAAGACTGCACGGAGACTTAGCGTGCATTTCTGTGGGTTCGCTGAGCTCCGCGCTGGAACCGCCACGCGCGCCGCATCTCTTTCTTCATAAGGGCGGCGGAGTGGCGACTGACCGAAGGAAAGCTCCGTCGGCTTAGCCGCCTAGACCGCTGTGAGTTTCGATCAAAGCCAAGATGGCGGGAAGCAACACATGCCGCTCAGGCGGTTTCAAGGAGCCACAGTTCCTGTTCACAAAGCGCTCTCGGCTGTGATGAACTCCAAGCCTATCAAAAGGTTCTGCAAGGTGCAGGAAGATTAAGTGAGGTCTGCGAACCCCCCTGCCATGCAAGAATGCAAGGTGCCCCAAAACACAAGCATAGGAGCCCGGCCCGCATAAGATTTGGGCTGACCATCCCGAATATAACATAACAGTAAATACATGTAGATGCATATCAAAAAGCAACACATCGATATATATATATATACATGTCACAGATCTATGTACGTCAATATGCATATATGTATACATATCCGCATAAGAGGGGGCTATAACAAACCTCTGCAAAAGGAGCTCGCATTGCCCCCTGCCATGTAGTGCGCTCACAATGTGTGCGCTCATGGGAAAGTGGGAACGACGTAGACGAGGTTTTCCAAGCCGATCTAATCAATGACCGTACGTGCGCACAACCGACTGCGCATCAAAGGAGCCTTCGTCGCGGTCTGAGGTGACGGATCCGAAATACTGAAATGACCACATGGTGACTTGGTAAGTTCATCCAGCCCGTCACCAGGGCTCCAGCACGGCCATGACTCGGCTCTTTTCTTAAAACTCACTTCCCCAAAGGCCGGCCAACAAGGCCGACTTTGCTCAGAGAAGCGCGGGCAGCGGTATAGCTGCTCCGTGCGGGTCCATTCAAGTGACATCAACCCTCGAAATGGTACCCTCCCCCAGACTAACATGGAAGCTCCCAGGACCCCGACATGGAAGACTGGTTCCGTTTACAGGATCGGCCGTTCTGGGAGCTTCCATGTTAGCCTGAGGGAGGGTAAAACGAAAACACGGAAACCGCCCAAGCAATTTTGCGAGCCCTCAACATGTTCACTTTAAGGGACCCTTGTAGCATCAAACGCTCGGCTTTGGACACACGGCTTTGGCAGAGCCGCCACGCCTCTCTCTCAGTTCCTGGTTTCTTCGCCGCTTCATCTCCGGAAGTGTGCACAGGTGACATCTCTCACACTGCGCGCCCTTGCGGCATCCATCCTTCTTGGCCCGGAAAAAATAGCCTCAGCGATGTCCATTTCTCGTCAATTTGCTTAAGTCGCTTGGAACATGTAATAATAGCTTTGCAACAAAGGACGTAACACATATTCTTGAGCTGGAAGTTTTCTCATGGGAGCCTGTTAGCTACTGTGGAGAAGGTCGAGGTCAAGAAGTGATGCCCGGACAACCCCGAAAGATAAGCTCAACTCGCCAAAGTTGAATAGAGGGTTTTCATCAAACCAACAAGCAGCTACGAAGCTGGGTCGACAATTCAAACTTAAAACGTTGGTTTCCAAGGAAACGGCGCCAAAACCAAACACCATAATTTTTAGAACCCCGTCTTCACATTGGGGCTCCAGGAAGAAAGGGAACGCCCGCTTAGGCTTGGCTTTCCCTCAGCCACTTAGGTGCGACCAGGCAGCAGGGGCGGCACTGGCCCGCTTGGTGTTCGAGCACGGACCTTGGTTCACCCCCTCAAAAGGTCAAGCCTTGTGCTGGCGCGTGACATCGGGTATACGTGAGAAATATCTGCCATGAGACAACCTCTAGCTCAAGAAAATCTGCTTGTCGGAGGGGCGTTGTTCACGTTAACAACCTGAGGCCGCGCTCTTCGCGAACGCAAAAATGCAATCCCGAAGCACAAACAAAGCATTCCCAAGGACAGGTCCAAAAAAACCGAAGACATCTCTGCAAGCGCGGCCCAACCCCAATGTCATCCCAAAAGACATCTCCCATGACATACCCAAGACGTTTCTAAAAATCCATGCGGAAGTCATCCCCAAAACATATGTTCAGAGACATGTCCCAGTGGCAAACCCCCAATGATATCTCCAAAAGCCACCCTGAAAGACGCGCCATGCGACATCCTCAAAACAAAATTGTGAAATGTCCAACTGTCATGTTCCAAAACAACCGCCCCCCCCCCCTCCCAAGAAATCCACAAGCGAACACCCCATAGACGCTGCATCCCTGCTGACAACCCAAAGCCAAGACAGCCGCAACGCAACCGCAAAGGCTCCCGAATGCCTTCGAAAACCGCAAGCCGACATTCCCCAGAGACACCCCAAACCATCCATCAAACAGAACCTCTTCAAAGCCGTCACCCGAACCCTTCCAAAGACATGCCCAAAGACATCACCCAAAACAACTGCAAAGGCATGCGCGCGGACACCCCACAAAGAAAACCTGGCACAGACATCCCAGGTGTCATCCTTCCGCCAAAGCACGTCCAAAACACATCCCCAAAAAAACCATCCACCAAGAGATCACGCAAAACAGCGGAAGCATTCTCCAAACACATCCCCCCAAGACACGTTCCAAAATCATCCGAAGTCATCCTGAAAGGCATAACCCAAGGCAACATTCCACACAAAGACATCCCTCAAAGATATTCCTAAACTAAACACATCCCCAAAGTCACACCCAAAAGCATCACCCAACACGTCCGCAAGAGAGACCTCGCAAAAACAGCCTAGCGCAGCCGGCCACCCACAGATATCTCCCAAGACCATTCCGCCACCGTCCAAAGACATCCTCGCAGTCATCCCCGAAAACACAACGTCTCCCAAGACAACACGTTCCCCAAGGCACCTTCCGAAGACAACCGCAATACTCCCTCAAGCCAAAGACATCCCCCAAAACATCCCCCCAAGACACCGTCCAAAACTATCATCCCCGAACACACCACCCGGAACAACCGCTCACGCATTCCGAATGACACGGCGCAAGACGCCCTAGCGCAAAGAGCCCCACAGTCACACCAAACACATCACCCCTGCCACGAGATCTGCACGCCAATCTCTAAAGCGGACAAATCTCCAAAGCATTGCGCCTGCCACGATTTCTCAGCGCCAAGCTCGAAAAGTAGCGGGCCTGCCACGAAATCTGCACGCCAAGCTCCGAAGTACTGCGCCTGTTAGCGCCAAACTCCAAAAGCGCTGCTCCTGCCACGAAGCCTGTTCTCTGGCTCCAAAGTGCTGATGCTGCGGAGACTAGGGAGGTGTGAACAAAGAGCTCCAAAACGCTTTGCCTATCACGAAGCAAGGCTTGCGACGAATCAAGACACGATCAAAGTGTTGCGCCTGCCACGAAATCCAGCTGTGAAAACTTTCCCACGCGTGGGGCTGCGGCGCCAGAATGGTTTCTGTACGCTCCACGCGCCTGCCAAGCAACCTCCGAAGCGCACATTCCAACGGCGAAGCGACGCAAACAGGCACTACGCAGCGAAACGGCGCACAATGCCGCAAAAGCTACGATTTAGGCACAGCCTCCATACACACAACATGTTGCAACGCGCAGTCTGGGGCCTCCCCGAGGGCCAACAGAACCGCCACTTAAAGGGGTACGGTACCAAGTAAGTGGTTAGAAAGTTTGGTTATGATCTGGTTATGGTTATAAGATTTAAGTGGGTTTAACAACCACATACTAAGTACCCTGCGCCTCTCAGCACGAAAGAGAAACCAAGCGGCACTGGGAGCGAAGCTTCGTCCCAGGGCTCCGTCCATCGCTTCACCGCAGGCGCCGAGCTGCTGCGGAGCCGCGCCGGGGATTGGAAGAGCGTTGCGTCCAAAGGCCTCGGGCTAAGAACCGAGGTGAATATTGTATACATATATATATATATATATATGTGTATATATTATATTTATATATATACACATACCGTTGTACATCTACGCAAATACATGTTATATAGTTGAATAGTATTACAATAATATACATACATACTTATATGCATATACATTCACATGTGTGTGTGTGTGTGTGTCTGGGCGTGAGTTTTCATGAGGGACTCCTTGGTAAACACCACTGGGGAGTTGTGTCCTAAGTGGCAAACTGTCTAGCAGTTGCAAGGCTCACTTCGACTTCTAGGTCCTTCAGCAAAGTGGGTGCGAAATAACCCAGCGGAAGCCAGAGAAGGACGGATTTGGAATTTCGACTGAAATCTCCCGTTATAGCCTGTTTTCCGGGCATGCAAAGAGCTGATTGGTTCATTGCCACTTGGGGAGTGCAAAATCGGCATCCAAACATTCAGCTTATTGGCAGTGTTCCCCCTCTTTGCTGACTTTGACCAAAACATTTTTCGGCCCACTTAAGGTGAGTCATCCTTGGCTGCGGCGGCACCTTTGGCTGGACATGTTGGGAACCAAACAATTTTCGGCTCCCCCAAAATGTGCGGTTTTCCTCGTTTCCCTTGCAAACAACTCAAAAAAGGGCACCCGAAAAAACAAAAAAGAAAAGGAAAAAAAAGAAAAGAAAACAAACAAAACACACACACACACACACAGACCCGTCATGGAAAAATGGCTGGGGCAACCAATCAAACGTGGCCTTGACTAAAAACGGATAAGACTACGGCGTCTCAAGCGATCATCTTGATTGAACAAGGTTCAGATGGTGTTCCTTGAGGATGTAGCAAAAAGCACGTGTTGTGCCCTACGTCAGCTGATGAGCATCATTTTATAGCTATGCCCGGGTATCTTTGCTTGGACGCCTTTTGGGTTGTCCACACTCAAAATGACTTTTCTGACGGCCAAAGCAAACCACCAGCTCACCCTGGACCCGCAAAAGCACAAGTTCTAGAGGAAATTTGTTTTAGGGGATTTTTTGGGTCCTATGCTCAGACGCCGCCTTTCAAAAGCCACTGGAAAAACCAAAGGTAAGCTGGTTTTCAGAGAGTGAAGCAGCCAAATATCCATCTCGACGTGGTTCGGGGAATATTCACGTTTCCGGCCCAGGGGTGTAAAGCTGAACACTGCTCCAGCGCCACTTCTCCATATACCTAACCATGGCCCTTTCAAACCGAGTGGAAACCTGTGTGTTTAGATCAAGAATTGTCAAAGCATTGATGAAGGTGTTGGCCAAGTTCATGTTGATTCTCGGCATGCTGCTTTTCAGCTTAGTGCCTCGGACTACATGTGAGCGGTGCCGAAAATAGGGCCTCGACTAACATTCGTGGAACCTTTCGCGATGCTTTCGCGGCCACACGTTTCACTTTCGCGGGCATGTGTTTTGTAATGATCACTTTCGCGGAGCTTTCGCGGGCAACACAGAATTTGAAAACGCGCACTTTCGCGACGCTTTCGCGGCGGGCTCTTCTTCAGCCACTTTCGCCGCAAGCTTTCGCGCCCTGCGTTTTAGCTTTCGCAAGGCTTTGTTAGGAGAGGCCCTCAATTAACTCCTTTCATAAGGATTGTTGGTGCTGCCCATGTGGAAACACAAAAGTCATCCGGCATTGGCACATAGATGGTGCACGTGCTGCCTTTCCCACACTCAAAATGTGAGCAGTTTCCGGGCAAAAACGGAACGGACCTCTACTATTATTTGATAAATTTGTGGGATGGGTGAAGGTTTGTAACTATTGGGCCGAGCAACAGGTCGGCGGGCCAGACCTCCACCTCCACTGAGACATGGTTCAGCACCACCGCAAAGTCGTGGCCGGCCACACCGAAACGCCCCAGGATGGCTCGGTTCATACCTGCCGATGCTCTTGGCCAGCTCTGGGGGGATTCGAAAATGGAACTTCCAGATTGTGGGGGAATCACCCCTGCACATCGCGGGTACTCCGGAAATACAAACTGTCAGCGTCTGTTTCATGTTTAGCCTACGTACCCTAAGATGTAACACAGCTTGGGAGGAGCCCACCAATCAGCAAAGAAAAAAAGCAATGGAAACCATAGCACAACCAAGAACAGTTGCAAGTCCTGAAGCTTCAGACGTGTGTGTGTGTGTGTGTGCGCGCGTGCGCGTGTTGATGCTCGGCGCCCGTTTCCCCATGGCTACAGGGCAGCCAAGAGGAACGCCAAAAGAATTGGAAGTGTGTTTGGGGAAGACCATATTTACAGGGTTCCCAACCCACGAAACAAAAAGGGATGTGGCTTTGGGCTGCGAATGAAAATGACAGGGGGTCACCTATTGGGACCAGGACTCAACCTGACTCAACATGGGTAAAACACTCGCAAGAAACAATGGAAAAAATAAGTCGCAGCAACCAAAACGGGAATCAACACTGGAGAAAATCAAAAAGGCCAAAAAGACAATACTAGATCACAACACCAAAAGGCAGAAAGTCAAAAGCTCTGCCCGGCTTTGCAAAAAGAACGCCTGACTCCTCCCCCATTTGGCACCAACTTGACCGGCAAAAATCCTCCAGCAACAAAGGACAAGCAGAAACAGCTGACGCAACTAGTGTGTTTGCTGGTGGTGGATGTGTTTGCTGGTGGTGGATGTTTGAGGGATCGATGCTTCGCAGGGAACCTTGTTCGCAATGGTTGACTTTGAAGAAGCCCTTTTTGGGAAATGATTGATGGCAATTCGACCACGCAACTCCGAACCTTTTGTTTGCCATTAAAATAATCTTGCCAAAACGCAGACAGTCAAGGACTTTAACAACAAGAAGGGGTTTAGCATTCTGATTGAATTTTGTCTGCCTTATAATGCAAAACGTAGTTTTGGAGGAGGGGAGGCCCTAGCAAGGTGTGTTTGGGACGTGAAAGCGGGATGCCACTGGACCGGGCTCCGGGCTTGCCATCTCCAGGATTCGCGTTGCGAAGCGACCCGGCGCTGAGGAGCCAAAGCTGCTGACATTGAACCGCTACACCTCCACAAAGCGAGCTCGTGTTAGGAACAGGATCCATGTCCAAAGCCAAGGGGCTTTTGAGGGATCCTGAGGAAAAGGCCCCAAGTGATGCTTCTTCCGTCCGAAAAGGATGGACACCTGGGTCAATCCATGTACTGTAAACTCGGAAAAATCATTCAGCGTGCGTGGTGGCAGGTAGTTTGACGCCGGCCACTGATTCAACCCCCACAAAAGCCCGGGCGTTCCCTGTTGAAAAAAACCTCTTCTTTGTACGAACCAGCGGGTCGACCTTAAGAGAACAATTGGGTTGCCTGCCCCGGGACAATCAATCCTTTCAACAGAGATCCTGCAGCCCATCGCCCAAAATCGAGCCGAGTGGCGCGTGGCAGTCCAAGCCGCACCCGTCCTTAACCTCAGGCGTGACCGGGAAACACACTTTGTCATCATACATGCTAGTGGTGTTTCCAGCCTAAAAATCAATTCTTTAGAAAAATGCACAAGAGAACGATGCCACGCCAGCTCGGTGAACAAGTAGAGGAAAATCCTTGTGTCGCCATTGCTGAGCTACAGACGCACAGGGTCGAGCAAGATTGGGCCATTAGACATTCCCCTTTGGATGTGACAACATTTAAACTGTGCCTGGCAAGCGGCGCTCACACTTTCAGCTGTCGGCGCATGGGGTTGGATTTTGGGGCTGCAACTGATGTGTACTTTCAGAGCTTGACTTGTCCCACGACGAACCCAGCTTGCTTCCATTTTGATTCGGCTGAGTTTCCTCGCTACCGTGTCAGCCAGCAGAAGCATGCTCGAGGCCAAGCGTGCGGTCGGATTGACCTTTTGGTACCCTGGGTGGTCGCAGTCTGGTTTGGCAAAACAGCTAAGGTGCAGTGATGTGCAGTGTAGATGCTACGAAGTACAGTAATAGTTGCTTGGACACATTTTGATCAGCAGGGCAACCAAGAACATGATTTTGTTTAGCATCAATTTTCATCATGTGCCCCCAGAAAGAAAGGTAGCGCGTATGGGTGGTGCCGCAACCTGGTTCATAAAAGCGCCTCTCGCAACGCTTTGGCGACCACACATTTCACTTTGGCGGGGCATGTGCTTTCTGAGCGGCGCGTCTGCTTCGTCCGTTGTTGTTTTTGTTGTGTTCTTGTTCGCAGCTCTAGCTCGGAAGTCACAAATTCTCGGGCTCGTGGCAGGGGACATCAAGAAGTTGCCGTCAGGCGATGTCCCTTTGCAAAGCGTGAAGCCAAAAAAAAGAAGAAAGCTTTGCCCATGGCGGCTAGTCGATGCGGCACGCAGAGCTTCTCAAAGTCAGCAATCCCCGCCAAATCTGCGAAAGCTCGGCAGAAGCTCCGCGCGTCCATGGGTTACTTTCACGACAAGCTTCCGCACCCTGCGTTCTAGCTTTCGTGGGAGCTTGGCGGGGGCGACCCTCAATCAACCCTCTTCGTTGAACAGATCCTCGCTGCTCATTGAAAAAATGGCGACGACACTTAGTGCTAACAAATGGGACTCTATGCTACACTCATGACTGCCCGTCTGCGCAAGCTGGAACCCAGTGTGCTTGTGCCTTTTTCGTTTCGTGCATGTTTGCCTTCTTGAAATTCGTTTTAGACAGCCGAAAGGAAACCATATTGGGGGTATCGCCCATAAGCGGCCCTGTATAAGCCAAGCTCGTGACAGAACCCGAGGCTCCGAGGCTCACGCGTGGTGCTGGGATCCGCCTTCAACGGCTCGTCGAAGGTCACCGGCATGCCGGAAGCAGCATGCAAAAAGTACCACCAAAAGTGGAAACCGAAGTGAGGAGTCGTCCAGAAAAGACGCTTGGAATGTTGGGAGAACATGACTGATTGTCTGGTCAAGTGCCAAAGCCAGAATCCATAGAATGTTACAAAGTTGGGGTTCCGAGAACTTTTCGGGGGGCTGGGGCCCGAATGGCACTCCTTTCATGGGAGCCCAATATTTCATAGTACGGGGTGTCTTCTTTGACAGGCGATCCTTCACTTGCCCAAGGAGAACCTGAACCTTTTGCATTGACTAAATGTGGACCACATGGAAACCAGCAGGTTAAAAGGTCGGCTTTGGACAAGTGAGGTCAACATTGCCGGACAAACATCTCCTGGAAAGGTCGAATGCAAATCAACGTATCACGCTTGTGTTGTTTGAGGGGCAAACCAGCAATGATGGGTGACTGGGAAGTGGCACCACGTGGGGAACTGACTTCTGCCGCCGTCCATCCTGGGGGCCGGGATGCTAAACGCCGGGAGCAGTTCTGCAAACACAAGATGCGCAAACCAAATATTGAATGATGATCACAATCTCACTTACCCAAAGCACCCAGAAATAAAAAGTTAGCCTTTGGGGTGATGACGAAAAATGGGCCAAACGGGAGAGAACAAAAGGTCGGCTTTCTTGGCAAGTGAGCACTGCTCTTTTCAAAGGCTGAATGCATGATGCCATCGTTAAGCCCCAAATGTGAGCCAACCATGGATTGACGAAGCTATCAGCCTTTGAATATCTGTTGGTGAGCCCAATGTTGCCAAAGGCTCACCATAGGCAAGTCTTGAGTGCACATATGTATGTTTACCATTGTGTATCTAAGATGAGGTTTCACCACCTGTCGAAATGACTCTCCCCGGTCGTAGTTACAAAATGCGGTGTATGACCATTACCTAGAAGCTATACGCATATGTGCCCTGTAGGTAGTGCCTTTGGGCTAGTGGAAAGAACCTCGGACTTGTGTGGGGGTCATCGTCATGTTTCCAGAAAACCAACTAATATCAACTAATTGTGCCGCTCATTGTTTAAAGTGATGAAGGTGTCCGTCTGGTGATGTATCTTCCTTTCCCTGAACGGGGGAGCATGGTGGATCCCATAGTAGACAGGGACATCCCCTGAACATCAACATGCCAAGAGATATATATATATATAAAGCATGCAATATGATTTGAATTCTGCCTCCATATATGAGGTCCCATGCATTTTTCCAGGAGCACAGATTGACCCGCAGGCCACCTCTCGTCACCTCTCCCCTGGATGCCGCGCGCATTTTTTGACTCGGCTCTTCAGCCGCATCCGATGGGCCGCCAGAAGTCTCGGAACCTGGCAGCAGAGTCTAAGGCGCTGAAGCCTGGAGTAGGCACCCCTGAGACGTGGTGGGAGAAGGGGGCCCACAAATTTGGGAAATCCGACTTGGCGTTACTTTCAATGAAGGTGAAGCAAACTGGAAACATATATATACACACACACGGAGACACACACACAAACAAACCCACAAGGACACAAACGAATACACACACACACAGACCCTCGCCAACGTTCCGCCCGAAACCTCTGACTTGAATATGTTCCATTGTCATGATTGCAGGGCAATCAACGCTGCCTCAGGCTGACCTTGGATATGAAGGGTGGTTAGCAAGAGAGAGGGTTAAACAGTTACCATCGCAAGCAAGGGTGGGCAGCTTGTCTGACCCCAAGCAGCATTTGTGTGTATGCACAAGCCTTAAACCACAAGTTTTAGCGTGGAAAGGGCGATTAGCTGAACGCGCCCCTTGAAGAAACAGCGGCCTGAACGCTGCAAAACACAGACAGACAGACAGACAGACAGACAGACAGACAGACAGACAGACAGACAGACAGACAGACAGACAGACAGACAGACAGACAGACAGACAGACAGACAGACAGACAGACAGACAGACAGACAGACAGACAGACAGACAGACAGACAGACAGACAGACAGACAGACAGACAGGCAGGCAGGCAGGCAGGCAGGCAGGCAGGCAGGCAGGCAGGCAGGCAGGCAGGCAGGCAGGCAGGCAGGCAGGCAGGCAGGCAGGCAGGCAGGCAGGCAGGCAGGCAGGCAGGCAGGCAGGCAGGCAGGCAGGCAGGCAGGCAGGCAGGCAGGCAGGCAGGCAGGCAGGCAGGCAGGCAGGGCAGGCAGGGCAGGCAGGGCAGGCAGGGCAGGCAGGGCAGGCAGGCCAGCAGCCAGGCAGGGCAGGCAGGCCAGGCAGGCCAGGCAGGCAGGGCAGGCAGGCCAGGCAGGCCAGGCAGGCAGGGCAGGCAGGCAGGCCAGGCAGGCCAGGCAGGCCAGGCAGGCCAGGCAGGCCAGGCAGGCCAGGCAGGCCAGGCAGGCCAGGCAGGCCAGGCAGGCCAGGCAGGCCAGGCAGGCCAGGCAGGCCAGGCAGGCCAGGCAGGCCAGGCAGGCCAGGCAGGCAGGCAGGCCAGGCAGGCCAGGCAGGCCAGGCAGGCCAGGCAGGCCAGGCAGGCCAGGCAGGCCAGGCAGGCCAGGCAGGCCAGGCAGGCCAGGCAGGCCAGGCAGGCCAGGCAGGCCAGGCAGGCCAGGCAGGCCAGGCAGGCCAGGCAGGCCAGGCAGGCCAGGCAGGCCAGGCAGGCCAGGCAGGCCAGGCAGGGCCAGGCAGGCCAGGCAGGGCCAGGCAGGGCCAGGCAGGGCCAGGCAGGGCCAGGCAGGGCCAGGCAGGGCCAGGCAGGGCCAGGCAGGGCCAGGCAGGGCCAGGCAGGGCCAGGCAGGGCCAGGCAGGGCCAGGCAGGGCCAGGCAGGGCCAGGCAGGGCCAGGCAGGGCCAGGCAGGGCCAGGCAGGGCCAGGCAGGGCCAGGCAGGGCCAGGCAGGGCCAGGCAGGGCCAGGCAGGGCCAGGCAGGGCCAGGCAGGGCCAGGCAGGGCCAGGCAGGGCCAGGCAGGGGCCAGGCAGGGCCAGGCAGGGCGGGCCAGGCAGGGCCAGGCAGGGCCAGGCAGGGCCAGGCAGGGCCAGGCAGGGCCAGGCAGGGCCAGGCAGGGCCAGGCAGGGCCAGGCAGGGCCAGGCAGGGCCAGGCAGGGCCAGGCAGGCACACACGCACACACGCACACACGCACACACGCACACACGCACACACGCACACACGCACACACGCACAAACGCACAAACGCACAAACGCACAAACGCACAAACGCACAAACGCACAAACGCACAAACGCACAAACGCACAAACGCACAAACGCACAAACGCACAAACGCACAAACGACAAACACAAAACACACAAACACACAAACACACAAACACACAAACACACAAACACACAAACACACAAACACACAAACACACAAACACACAAACACACAAACACACAAACACACAAAACACACAAACACACAAACACACAAACACACAAACACACAAACACACAACCACACAACCACACAACCACACAACCACACAACCACACAACCACACAACCACACAACCACACACAACACACTCACACACCCACACACTCACACACCCACACACCCACACACCCACACACCCACA